CCTCAGTAGGGCCACCAGGGTTATGACTTGCTGTTAATATAAATGCTCCTGTGGCTTTGGATCCCTGATATTGGGGATTCGGGTTAGTTACTCATCCAAGTTGCGTACATGCATAGCCTTAGACAGCCAGAAAGAAAAAACAACTAGCATGAGGCTAGAGAAGATATCTTACATCATCCCCTACTCTTTCACGAATAACAGCTGATACAGCAGGAGTTGATAGCAGACCGTTTTGACCAACCCACACACGTCGAACACCATTAGCTGCCGCCAACTTAATTATAATCTGTTCAGGAAGGAAATAAAATGTAAAATCAGCTGGAAAATATGTTACATGTATGAAAGGAACTGATTTTTTTTCATGAGAAAGAAACAAAACAATTCATTAAATAATTGCAGCAGATCAATTTAAGTTAGCTAAAAGCTTGGAAAGAACTATTGACAGTAATAAAAAGTAGAGAGTATTTTCAAAATGGAACCAAATTCGTAAACTCTAATTCCTCTCGCTGTTATGATAGGTTTTAGAGGTAAAAACAAAGATGAATATGTCTGCAACGCAATATGCGCAAATATATCACCTATATAATTCACGAATTCCCTCAAAAACAACGTAATGAAATGAGTTAAAGTAAAAGAAAGTATCTGAAAACTATACTCTTCCTTCTATGCTATGGGTTAGACGCAAACGTAAATAGTTCACACAAATTCAGAAGAATGAATGGTAAAGCTTTTACCTGAATAGCCTCCTCTGAATAGTAACGTCCATCCCCAGAGACCACAAGTGTCGCACCTGCACAAGTTAAACAAACACTCATGTTTACATGGAATACGCAATTATCTGCCTAGGGCCCTAGGCACATTTATGCAATAAAGCATCTACCCGAATGACAATCAAAAGGAGTAAGAGAGATCTTACCTTTGACTTTCTCCGGAGTAAGAGCAATGAACGTTGCCTGAACAAAGTTTTCTAAGTAATTGGGTTGCTTGAACACTTTCACCTGTCAAAATTAGACCACCATAGCATCCCATCAGAGAGAGTTAACATAGTATCATTCGTCAACACATCCGCCTACAATAAATACAGAACACTTGAAGGTGCTAATCGAGCAGATTGTAAATGAAAACGTAAACACTGGATCAATGGGACTAATTGAGCAATTCGACTGAATTCTCAAATACGTGAACAAGATCCAACATTCCTGAACAAGGGATCTAATTCGCACAATCATCGGAAGAAGACGAACGACACATTATGCAATGCCTAGAGATTACAATTACGATTCAACACAAACGCAGATCAAAGCGTCACTGTTGTTGCCGCATCAGTACAACATTAGCGGCAAATATAAATTCAAATCTACGAAAATGAAACAATGCGTGAATTCAATCTCATCGGATCGGATCGGATCGGATGGTTAAATCAACTCACAATTACTTCAGTCCATAAGATCTACAGCAAACATCTAATATAGTCCCCCAAAAAAAAGAGAGGAGAAGATCGGATTCGCGACAGAGAAAACAAATGGTACAGATTCGAGAGATATCAATCTCGTAACGATCTGAATCAGAATAACAGATGAAAAAAATTCGAACAAATGAAATCGAGATCGATGAACAAAGAGACGAAGACGAACCTTCTTACGGAGTCCAGAAGTTCCTGGTTTCTGGCCATCAATAGGCGAAGTAGAGACGAAAGAGACCTTGAACGACACCATTTTCAATCCGA